TGCTTATGACAATAAGTACATGCTTATGACAATAAGTACAATAAGAATGTGAATTACCTGTATGAGACTTTAGTATTTTTACAAGTGCTAGTCTGTTAGAATTTTCTGCAAGTATATCAAGTTTCAGGGAGATTACAACAGTAGGATGCAGAGCAATTATTGCCAAAAATAACACGTATGTAGTACAAGTGATAGCCAAAATTATTTGGACGGTGCCAAACGGTGTTCACTGAACTTCACTTATATTTAATTCCGGCAGGGGGGTGGGGGTGGGGGGCACGGCGCCGTTCCCCATGTTTGATTTTGGCAAGGGGGATGCCGTTCCCCTGGTAAAAAAGGTGGGGGGATGCCGTTCCCCAGCGTTCCCCCTGGAAAACATCACTGCTGTGTAAGCATACTATTACTTAAAGGGAGCCTCCTTAAGTAGTTGCTGATGCCAAAAATAGCATATTGCAAAATAAAGACAGATTTCGAGTTCCCACTCCTGGGATGGTGCTAGCCAAGGGCAGAATTTCTATTTATTTAAAAGGAGGGGTAGAAAAATTTCTGGTGGGGTGCAAACGGCACCACTCAGTGAGCTTCCGCATTGGGTAAAACCTTTTACACAAAATAGGACGGTTGAAACGAAATTTTGGTGGGGTTGAACACTTTATTGGGGGGGGGGTTACATAGATTCTAGGGGGGTTTAACCCCTCCAGTAAATCTGCCCATGGTGCTAGCCCACCTCATATGCAGAAGCAGATACCAAACTGAAGAGCAAAGCAAGCCAGTCTGGTTTGCCATACCAGCCCATATCGAATAAGCCCCTAATATAATAGAAGCATCATTGTTTATTCATTGATAGGAATTTTTTTCCTTTTATCAATCATGTGTCGCAAACGTCACACCCCCAACCATCCCCATCATAAAAGGTCCAAAGGTCAAGTAATTTGCCATGATCATAAAAGTGATAAGCACATTGACAGTACATGCTGAAATTTAATACTACTTTGCATTACTAAGCCCCCTGTACTTTAAAAAAATCGATACCTTTATTCTTGATTTATATAGAAGTACTCAAAATGTATGGGTATTGGAATGAAATGTTTGTGAGATAGCTGCAATGAAAATACTAGCTAACATTGTTACATAACTAGTCAAAGATCTGAACAAATGAACAATACAATGTTGGTCTTGCCTGCTAGAATAGCTTTTCCTGGGTGTTTCTTTCCAGCAATTTTCCCGCCAGGAGCAGCACTCATAGAATGATGTTGTTTCGAGTGATGTTTACTACGTGGCATCTTGTTATTGTTTGGTATTCCTGCCATCTTCGAGAATCTCCGACTCTTATCTCAGTTTATATCTGTTTATTGAAGAAGATATAATTTTGTTGTCATTTGGCACAACAAGCACAGCCTGGCACAACAAGCACTTCTCAAAGGTCAAACTTCCTGCAGTATAAATATATTTTCGTCAACAAACTGATCGTGACAAGAAGAGCCGGCCGCGCTGACGTGCTGAGATTGTTCGATTTGAGAGGATTTAATATTTATTCCGGTACGATCGGAGATTATCGTTTCTCAATCGGAAACTCTCGGAAACGTAGTAAAAAGTGTCCCTCTTTCAATTCATTGTTTTGTTTTCAAATTTGAAATTTTTGAGCCGTCTCGCACATGTCTCGAACTCGCGGGACCGGTGCAAAATTTCCTGCGTCCTGATTGGATGATACCACGCATGCGCTACATCTGTCCGAGTGTCAGGTTATCGCGCATGCGTTAATTTCAACGGCTTGGTAAACACCGAGCTAAGGCGTCCCACATGCACTATACCAGGCAACTACAACGTAACGTATTTATATACGGAACTGTTACTATTACTTGTGTGTGGTTGTTACCGATCATAGGATCTTGCGAAAAGGGTGCCAGGCATAATGGTCTGGGGGCCGCCGACACTCTCCCCTGTCGTTCGTTCGATACCGTTGGTAAGCCACCTATTCACCGCCTCTGTAGCCTGCGGTGCAGACGCTTCGTATTTCATTATGAAATACGAAGCGTCTGCACCGCAGGCTACCGCCTCTGACGATAACGTTGAGTTTAGCCGAAATCTAGCTTAAACATAGGCGTACCGGGCGGGGGGGGGGCGGTAGCCCCCCCCCAGTTTTTTCGGCAGTCGGCCAATATTCGATTAACAGTCGGGCAATTTTGCTTTGCTATAAAAATAAATTGGACAAATTCTGTCAATTTTTTCGAAAATTTAGTAAATTTTGTGGCCAATGTAGTGTTTTTTTGAAAATTTATGTGATGCTCCCAAAAATTTTGGTATGTTCGGAAAATTTTTTGACCCCTTAAATGGTACACTGACCGAAATTTTTTTGTTTGGTACTAGTCGGGCACAATCACGAAAAGTCGGGTAATTTTACGAAAAGTCGGGCAATTTTCTTTCCGCCCCCCTAATTTTTTCCTTCCGGTACGCCCATGAACTTAAACGTTAACATACGGCGTTCTAGCGGCTAGCACGAGACGGACTTGGCCAATACGGGCTAGCAGAGTCGGGAAGTATGGACTGATGGGGCACTTTTCTTTTTAAAAAATAAATAACAGTGCGTTTTGTGCTTTTTATCTAACTTATAAAAATCTAAAGTGTATCTTTACTACTTCGCGCCAGGATTTGCAAGGAATGGATACCAACTTTTTCGCCATTTTGTAGGTACACATTTTATGTTAGTAATAGAATAGATGGTTTGGAAACTCGTTAGAATAACAATATCACTCATTATCGATGTTAGTCAACATTTATTCATAAATATGTTCCTTCACCGTCACATGTGTATTGTATTTTTGCCAAATCCGCCAATAGCAATTTCCAATTTACCCTATTGTTCGAGTCACGGTCTCACGGATAGGTAACTTTCCTAAAACATTGCTATTGGTTAGTTGGGCAAAATACAGTACGCACGTGACAGTGGTCGAAGGACCAGATTTATTAATAAACGTTGACTAACATAGATTACGTATTAACTATGATAATCTACACATTACAATACTGTAATCTAATTATTGTCGCTCCAAGGCCGGCGACAAAATGACGAATTGGTGAACACGGGCCCCCTGTCCCTCTCGACTCTCCCGCTGGCGCATGGCCACGCCAAAGTATATTTTTAATCGCAATCAACGACAGAATTACCAGCAAATTACTTGCAAGAAATCGCCGCATAACTGATAAAAACGCAAAATGTGATAAAAATGTGAACGATGTTCAGCTAACTGTTTTTGCTGAGAAAACGATCGAAAAATCGTTTATTTCACATTTGGTACGTTTTACAATCGATCACAACGATTTCCGGGCCCCTATGAGCACTCCGGGCCCCGGGTATTTTGCTCCCCCTGCCCC